TGATGAAAGTTTCTAATAATTCACACAGGGAATACCTCAGAGCCTTTCCATAAAGAGACAGGGTCTGGGTGAATGGCTAAGTTATTCCTTTCATGCATTTCCCTGTGCCTGTCTTGGGGTAGTCTTTGGTTTCTTCTCAGTCTTTAAAGAATGTCTAGAATGTCTAGAAGATAATTGGATAGAACCTGTACAAACTCCACCAAAAATCCAAACTTCGTCTTCAATCTTTAAGATCCCCCAGTCTCTTTGGGAGTTTGCTCATTTGGAAGGTGGTTTGAAACTGGCTGGAAGTTCCTGAAGGTGATAGGAGGGCAAGAAGTTCAGCCATTCTGGTCTAACTATTACAGAACCCAGTGTTGGTGGAAACCTAATCTCTAGTGAAGGATCAGAAAGTGAACCATCTTGCATGGAGTTCTGGTCTTTTCTAGCTGCTTTCCATCTGGCCCTTACCAGAATCAGGACTGCGGACTACTATTATCTATTCCAGGCAACAGGCTGGAACTTCTTTAAAAAATGATGTATATTTGATCAGAACACAGCTACATAACTTACAGAGTTCAACGCATAATGTAAACCTGGGGCCTTTTCTTCAAATATTAAGAATCGCAAGATGGTGTCAGTAGACAGTGAATACAGGACCCTGTGCATCCTCAAAGGTTGCATATGCCATAGGGGCATCCTAAAAATTATGTGGGAAAAATTCTAGCTTACCCATTTCCCAAGGATATTCCCCATACCTGTTTACATATCTGGAGAATATGCTTGTCGGGGACTGCCTTGCCTTCAGCTCCCCTCTGTTGTCAGGTGACTCCCTTCTAGTCATACTGGGGTCTGGGGCTCAGCCTTTACTACTCTCTCCGCACGCCCTCACCACAGCTGCCAGCTCAAGTGTTGGCTTGACTTGAGTAGCTGTTTTCTTCCTTTTCGAATGTAAAATGACATCAGAGGTACAAAACTAATCACCATTGGCACAACATAAGGGCTTGAATACTTATGCTTTTGGTTCATTTAAAATTTTTCTTTTTTTCCTTTCTTTTTTTGATAATCACAGTCTCACTTTCAATGTCATGGTGTGAACTGAGAAATTCCCACCCCCTTGCTTTTTCATTGCTGATGATAACAGGAATATAAATTGCAAGATGTGCAATTATACCTAAAAATGCTAGATGTGTTTTAATGCAAAAAAAAAAAAAAGAGAGAGAGAGAGAGAGAGAGCAAGAGAGGCTGTTTCTCATAAAAATAGATTGTATGCTATGCTTTTTTGTTGGACCTAACACAGTATATATACTTCCAAATGTCATTTTAAAATGCTAAAAACAGCTGCAAAAATCACATCGTTTTGTGGTTTTCCTTTTAATTGTAACATTTAGGAAATTAGCATTTGGGGCCAAGATAACTCCATTAAAATAAGATAGTGAATTACACTTATTTAAAATGAAGTCACATTAAAATACAATTACAGTTGATATTCTTTCCTTGTTATTAACACATCCGCATTTATGTTTTACAATCTATTGAGGTTTGCTATTTGAAATAATTATCATTGATTAAGGAAAGAAGTGCATTTTAAAGTATGATTAGTAAATATGTAATATTTAATGGAAGTCCTACAGTAGCAGCAACAGCTAATATCACCTCATATTTTAAAATATAGTTCTTGACTTTGTAATTATGACTTTCTCCTTAGAATGGATGGGGCTTGATTTTAATTAAGACTGAGCATCTTGGGATCCCTGGGTGGCGCAGTGGTTTGGCGCCTGCCTTTGGCCCAGGGCGCGATCCTGGAGACCCGGGATCGAATCCCATGTCGGGCTCCCGGTGCATGGAGCCTGCTTCTCCCTCTGCCTGTGTCTCTGCCTCTCTCTCTCTCACTGTGTGCCTATCATAAATAAATAAAAATTAAAAAAAAAATGAGCATCTTTTTTTTTTTTCGACTCTTATTTTTTAGGAAATGGGAGTAATTAGTTATCACATACTGCTTTTGGTAGAAAGCAGTCAAAATTTTTCCTATTTTAGTAACAGGTCATAGAAATGAATCCATACTTCTTCATTAAGAATTAAAATGGGAATGTCTCTCTGATTTCTTGACTCAGAACCCTCCATGTCATTAGGTGCCACTCTTCAGGAGAGGTTAGAGCTGTGGGCCTCCTACATCTAAGGTTGACAACCGCCACTGGCCCAAATTACTTTTCCTTTCCTCATCACAATCAAATGTTCTAAAATGAAAACTTCTACGGAGAAAGAGTCAAGGATCTTATCAGACCAAAGACTCAGCTGCCCTCAGACCACCCTTCCTCTGCCTCACAGAGTGCTCTGATCTGTTCGCTTATTGGCACCTGCCTCTTCTTACTGTTGTCGTCTGCTTACCATCTAAGCTTCGCCATCTTTTTCAGTCCTACTGTTATCTTGGGTGATTCTATATGGACACACATGGTTATGTAAGTATATTCACTTCTTGGCCTGGAGACATCTTAGATTTTTCACTTTCACCTGCAAGCTTTGCCTTGTTCCACTTCTCTGTCCAACCAAGTTTTTGTCCCCAACACTTGAGTCATCTTCTTCCCCAAATGCTCAGATGGTTTTTTGGTTCTTTCACTTGTCAGAGACCCAGCTGGGTCCATCAAACTGTCTCCTTGCCCTGAACCTGTATCTGATAGCTCAGCTCAGTGCTACAAGAGAAAGCCACATCAACTCAGAGATGGCACCTCTGTAAGTTGATGATCTCTATACTTGAATGATGCTCACCCATCCCTTTTTGTTTGTTGTCCTTTTCCAAGGTACTTTTATGCCAGCATCCTTAGGATCAAGTTCAGAGTCCTTAATGTAACTTCTAAGGCCCTTCATTCACTATTTGTCTTCTTTTGTCCAGTTAAGCTTCGTGTCTTGCCAATTCTCTCACAGCAAGCCAAAATGTGGTTTTAATGAGCTTCTCTTGAGTTTCTATATCATGTATGAAGAATTGCATAGCTCAGGTATGAGTTTCCTCAGGAAACTTGCTTCATTCTAGGTACTATCAAATTATGGGATCGGTACCCCACTCCATATGTTATAGCATTGTCCTTCTTCAGTCCTGGCTTGTGACTCACTGGGTGCCCATTGTGTTTATTTGACTGTCACAGACTGAGAGTCCTGTGGGTCAAAGCCATGTCACCCTTAGAAACTGCTGTACCCCTGAAACCCCCCTTTGCCTGATGTCATGCACAATTAAAAAAAAATAGATGGTCAGAGCATCACATTAGAGATGAAGATATTAAAACCCACATTTTGTGACCTCCTGAGACCACACAGCTCACTTGTGAAAATCAATCATAGTGGTCAGCAGCCTGGATTTTAGTACCAAACTTGGATTCAAGTTCTCCTTCTGCTGCTTACTTGCTTTAAGCCTCGGGTATTTGTTCTATAAAATAGGGATGAGAAACATGTCAGCCTGGCAGGGTTGGGAGAATAGTGTGAGGGTATTGTCCACTAAGAGCCCAGCCCAGTGTGCCCCTTGTAAACAGTCCTCAGTGATAGGATTTCATTTGAACCTAGGTTGCCCAACTCTCAGAGGAGCATTTGGATTATGATCACATGCCTGTGACATGTCAGAGGAGTATCTACTTGTGATTATATGAACTGTTCATAGAAAGTAAAATCAGAGAATATAGACACAGTTCCATTAGAAAAATTCTCTGTTTTTGAAAGTGTTTTATCTAGTGATTCTTTTTGACTTTATAAATATTTCCAGAAAGGCTGAACTGTACTGAAGTCTAAAAACTATCTACTATGAAATATTTCCAAGGTTCTCTTTATTGTTGTATAAGAGAGAACAGTCCTACACTAACTTTAATGAAACCTTATCCCTACCTAGCATAATGACATATGTGCTGAGAGCTTGGGGATTGCCAAATACCTTTCATATATGTTTATGTGACGAATTTCTCATGGATGGCAATTTGGTAGGAGGGTATATATAACCCCAAATGACATGTTTCAGTGAAGGATTTAATTATTTTATTGACTATCACAAATCTGAGCATTGCTTATGAGTTAAGTGATGGTATTTTGGAAGTAGGCTATTGTAGGTTCAAATCCTGGCTCTGCCACATCTCGCCATTATAACCTTGGACAAGTTCTTTCACATATCTAAGCTCTGGGTTCTTTGTATGTAAAGTGGAGATACTATTTGTTATCGCTAGGATTTGCTGGGAAGACAGAGTAAGCTAACATGGGTAAAACCCTCAGCACAGCACTCAGTTCTGCTTACAAAAGAAACCCAGACATCTTACTCTCAGTATTAGCCAAATTAAATGAGTAACACATCTAATTGAAATATTTATTAGTTCCTTCTAAAGGTAACTTTTGCCAGTCTACATTGGTGCATTATGCAGGGAAAGTTTGTGATGAATTTTTCCCTAGTTCAGCTTTTTAGCTATCTATGCCACTTAACATATGGGAAAATTTGTAGGTTTAAGAATTACCATTCATGCTGTTTAAAAAGAGTGAAATCTTGCAGTCATTAAGTCTAGTGTTTGAGAAGAAATCAATTTTTGTCATCAGTACTTTAGCAACTTGTTTTAAAATTCCCAGTGACTAGCCCCCTTTTGTTTTGCTAGCACTGTGGAAAACCCATTGACAATCTATGTAGCCCTGGTAAGTTGTATCCTAGAACTATTAGTCACAGGAGGATCTTTATGAACTACCTACAGTAGATCCATGTATAAAGTAGTAAAAATATAATTTTGATACTATCACAATTGTTATTGGTACTCAGTGATTATTACTGCTCTCGTTATGATGGCAAGTGTGCACACATAACACAGCTAACTCTTTGGAGTATTTGAGAAATTTTTGGGAAATGTGATATTTATAAAAAGATGTTGTGATGTATGCATGGCTATTGGCTTTTAAGTACCTTACTGCTATTCTCCTGATGTTCTCCTCAGTTAATTCTTTTCTTAATTGATGTCTGTGCTCTCTCTCTCTCTCTCTCTCTCTCTCTCTCTCTACCTCCCTGGCAGTCTTTTCCCTATAAAAGGACCCATCTGTCTAAGGTAGAGATTCTCCATTTTTATATACACTCACCAGTGATTAAGCTGCATGGAATAGACATGCTTATTATTTAGAAGTTTCCTTGAACCCTGCTTTTTCAATACAGTAGTGCTTTGTTTTCCTTCAAGTATAAAATAAGTTATTTTCAGCACCCCAAAGTATGTCTAATTTCTAATCACAGTCATAGATTAGAGCAAAAAAAAAAACATTTTAAACTTGCTAATCCATCATAATTAAAAATAACGTTTAAGCAACAGATACTCTTTGTAATATGCAACTATATACAGAGACTGAGAGAAAAGCTCGTTCCGAAAAGTGACTAATTTTCATTTGATTTTCTATTAGACTTGAATTTGAGCGGCAGCAGCGTGAAGAACTTGAAAAATTGGAGAGTAAAAGGTAAGGTATGTGGGGGGCCAGCTCTGACAGTGCTGTAGTCTGTAGATTCTTGCATTAATCTTCTAGACAGATTCCATTGGGGTCTGTCTCATGCCCTCCCTCTGGTTCCATGTCAAGTATTTACGGGTCTAATGACTTTGGGTCTTTCCTCTAGGTGGTTACTTGTATCTCATGTTTAATATTTTCAAGTAGTACATCTTCAAATACTTGTAAGAAAGGGGGAATAGGGTCAGTATGCAAATTTCATGCACTTGTTAAATTTAACATGCCAAGTATATACTTTTTTATATTTAATTCAAATGGATATCCTCATCAGTAATATCACCCGAGGTCTTAGAAAGCCTCTCTTTGCTTTTAAAGGGGAAAGGAGAAAAAATAAGTGGGAAATATCAGAAAGGGAGACAGAACATGAGAGACTCCTAACTCTGGGAAACTAACTAGGGGTGGGAAAGGGGAGGTGGGTGGGGGGTGGGGGTGAATGGGTGACGGGCACTAAGGGGGGCACTTGATGGGATGAGCACTGGATGTTATTCTATATGTTGACAAATTGAACACCAATAAAAAATAAATTTATTAAAAAATAAAAATAAAGATCTTTGCTTTTGTTGTTTGGCCATTTGTATTCCCCTTCTATAATTTGCTTCTTTATATTCTTTGCTCACTTTTCTCCAGGGTGTGTGTGTGTGTGTGTGTGTGTGTGTGTGTGTGTGTGTGTTTGTGGTTGTTTAGCTGATTTGGAGAAGGTTTTTTGGTATGTTCTGAATGTAATTATCTGATAATACTAAGTATCTTCTCCTTTTTTCCCCCTCCATCCTATATTTAACAAGCCAAGAAATGGAGCAAGGATAGATATTAGAGTAGAAACTAAAGCCACAGAAAATCTACAGGTTGGATATTTATATTCTGGAATCTGGAGTGTAGGTGGTACAAATGAATTAGTTTAGCTTCTAGCATCATATAAGATAGGTCTTAGATGTGTCAGGAGTTGGAGACCATGTATTGATACTTCTGCATGCCCTTTATTTTTGCTTTGGAGGCCATCCCAACTTCAAAACACAGATTTAGCGCTTGGTAGGGATCATTTGTTTTCCAAGACCAAACATGACATATAACCCCTGTGGCCATGCATCTCAGTATTCTAATGGTGACCCCTGTTATTTTCAGCGTTACATGTTAATAAACTAATATTTTGAGCCATTTGGTGATTACTGTTTATCCTAAACTAGTGATTAAATGCTAAGTAGCATGTGGTTATTTGAGCTGGAACAATGAACTGTTGATTGTCTTGACTTTGATATTTGACCCTAATGAGTTGAGGACAGCATAAGCATTTTTATTTAATGTCATTCTGTAACTGAATTTCTATTGAGTTTTAGCCATTGGGCTGAATAAAATTATTCACATTTAAATTTAAATTGGGCACGGTTCTTTCTCTTTGAGCTCAGGGGGCTTTTAAAATTATATCATGCATAACACATTATGCTTATAGACTCTACAAAGAAATGATATCAGAGGCTACTTCAGGAGATTAGGCAAATGATATGTTGGATAGTTACAGAGTAAAAAAGTTAAGCAGTGTGCTGCTGGAAATTAAAAGGAAAGTAGTTTCCCCCCACTTTTTATTCTTACTGAAGGGTTTGACTTTGTGTTGTATGTCTATTTTCAGAACATCTCAGTTAGGGAAAAGTCATTTGTCCGTAGCACTCAGATGATGATCAGTCAACATTTGGCATTTCAGGAAACTCATAGAAGAAATGGAAGAGAAGCAAAAGTCAGATAAGGCAGAATTGGAGCGGATGCAGCAGGAGGTGGAGACCCAGCGCAAGGAGACAGAGATCGTCCAGCTCCAGATCCGCAAGCAGGAGGAGAGCCTCAAACGCCGGAGCTTCCATATTGAGAGCAAACTGAAGGATTTGCTCGCTGAAAAGGAAAAGTTTGAAGAGGAAAGGCTGAGGGAGCAGCAGGAAATCGAGCTGCAGAAGAAGAAGCAAGAGGAAGAGAGCTTTCTCCGAGTCAAGGAAGAGCTCCAGCGGCTCCAAGAACTCAACAACAATGAGAAGGCTGAGAAGCTTCAAATCTTTCAAGAGCTGGACCGGCTGAAAAGGGAGAAGGATGAGCAGTATGCCAAGCTCGAATTGGAGAAGAAGAGGCTGGAGGAGCAGGAGAAGGAGCAGGTCATGCTCGTGGTACATCTGGAAGAGCAGCTGCGTGAGAAGCAGGAGATGATCCGGCTCCTCCGGCAAGGGGAAGTGCAGCGGGTGGAGGAGGAGAAGCGGGATCTGGAAGGCATCCGAGAGTCCCTCCTTCGGGTGAAGGAAGCCCGGGCTGAAGGGGAGGATGATGGTGAGGAGTTAGAAAGGGCTCAGCTCCATTTCTTAGAGTTCAAGAGAAGGCAGTTGGTCAAGCTAGCCAACTTGGAGAAGGACCTGGTCCAGCAGAAGGACCTCCTGAGAAAAGAAGTTGAAGAGGAACAGGAACTCCTAGAGCGTTTAAAATCTGCAGAAGAGGAAGACTCTAGGTTATTGAAGAAAAATGATGCTAGCATCACAAACGTTACCCTGCTGGCTCGAAATGTGGAGAAGATAAAGCCAGCAGAATATAGGCTGCAGTATAAAGAACGCCAGCTCCAGTACCTGCTGCAGAATCATTTGCCAACCCTATTGGAAGAAAAGCAGAGAGCATTTGAAATCCTTGACAGAGGTCCCCTTGGCTTAGACAACACTCTTTATCAAGTGGAGAAAGAGATGGAAGAAAAAGAGGAACAGCTTGCCCAGTACCAGGCCAACGCGAGCCAGCTGCAGAAGCTCCAGGCCACCTTCGAATTCACTGCCCACATTGCACGTCAGGAAGAAAAGGTGAGGAAGAAGGAAAAGGAGATCCTGGAGTCTCGGGAGAAGCAGCAGAGGGAGGCGCTGGAGCGAGCTGTGGCCAGGCTGGAGAGGAGGCACTCAGCCCTGCAGAGGCGCTCCACCCTGGGCCTGGAGATCGAGGAGCAGAGGCAGAAGCTCGCCACGCTCCACAGCAGCAGCAGCGAGCAGTCTGGGCTCCAGGCCAGCCTGGAAGCTGAACAGGAAGCCCTGGAGAAGGACAGGGAGAGGTGAGACTGGGAAGGGAGAGCACGGCATGCTGTGGGTGCCAAGTGATGGCGACTTTTCTACCCCTCCCAGTGTGACTGTCTCTTAAAAAAAAGTAATTCTTTTTTACCTGTGTATTCTCTAATACACCAACAAATGGTTTTAGTCAAACAAAAGTGAGAAAGCACCCCTAAACATTTTCTTTCTCCTTAGGATCCTTCCTCATTTTAGAATCGTTGGCCTACAGTTATTGAAAAAAATACACTAAGGAAACCAAAGGCCTTGTCCCTTACTCCACTGACCTATGGAATGTGAATGTTCTTGTATTTGATAGGATAGCCTCTAGTCAGCCCCCTCCTTTGCATCCCTCCCCCCACCCCCAGTCCCTCCTTTGGCTCTGTATCTCCCTTTCTCTTTCCCTTCTCTTCCCCCCTCTTTTTTTCCTTCTCTCCATCCCCTTCCTCATCCCATCCCGCCCCTCTGAATTTTTCCTATTCTCCCCACTCCTACAACCTCACCATGGGCTTAACATCATCTCTGCAACTAGCACTAGTTACCGTAAAACACCATCCCTTCCTTCACAGTACCATGTGCTAATGTCTACACCTGCTAGGAAACTGAAAACAGCCCCTTCTCCCACCTCTCTTGATTCATAATATTTGCAGGAGGCCCCAGGATTCTGCATTAAAAAATAAACTAAACAAAATTCTCCAGATGATTCTGAACACAGTGATATTTTTAAGCAGATGTGGTGAAGATTTACTCATGTTACTTTTGGTGTTGTGAAAAATAAAACTAGGAATTAGCACTATTTCCGTGGTAAAGAAAGAGTATCTCCTCCCACCAATTCCCTGTCACCAGGCTTCCCACACTAGGTCCTCAAAAGGAATCAGTAGTGAATTCAAGAACACTTTTTCTGGTAGCCTAGCAGATGTGATACCAAGACTCCCAGAAATCTGTAGGCTGCCTGGTGTGTAAACATCACCTGATTTGTTGTCCTACATGGGAGCTTCATACCCTGGCCCAGCCCCATTCTGTCTGGCTGGCCTTGGCAGGCTCTTTGATCTTTAGGCTTCAGTGTCCTCGCTCTAACAAGAAGGGGGCAGAGGAGATCAGGGCCTGTTCACTTTCTTTAGCTCCAGACTCTTTGATCAGTTGAGCTTTTACCTGAAGCCCAGGTTGGAGGGCCTAGGCTCTCTAGCATTCCAACCACCCACAGCACCTCCTGAGGAGCTACAACTGAAGCCTGGTCGGCTAGCTTGTAGGAGCCCAGCTTGACATTGGCAGAGGCCTGGGATCCATATAGATGATGAAGCAAGACCTACTGTGAGGCTGGAGCCTCCCTCCATCATCTTGCCTGAACAGGTTGGGCAAACTCCCTTTCAAATGATCTGCTTCTACTGTGAGTTCTGTTTACCTTTGCTCTCTGGTAATTCCCTCTGGCAAAACAGCAAGAAATAACAATCAAAAACCATAATGCTATTACTTCAGAGAAATAGGTTGGAGGTTTAAGAAAATGATTGCAGGTATGTTATGTAAATGAAATTGCTGGACAAAGCTCCAGCCCCAGGAAATTTAAAGTAGTGAAGGGCACACTCTCAATTTATATCCGGCAGTGTGCAGTAAGAATGCAGCATGAGCTTTTAGCTTGATATCTAGCTTTTGTCAACCGACTTCAGTCCCTGGCCATTTAGTATTAATACTCTATTATAGCAGATACAGTATTGTGATTTTCCATGGAAGTGATTTCCCAGTGTCAGCGTTCCTCCAGAAGCCACACAAAGGATGCTTTTAGTTTCATGTGTTTTGATGGAGTAGACTTTGCTAAGACCTAATTCAGGCCAGCAAATTCTGAGCTCTTTGCTCTGGCTGTGTTGCTCCTGCAGCTTTTTGTGGTTATTGGTTTTGTGTGTCATTACCTCCCTGGGTTCTCATGGCTAAGCCAGGGCCTGCCGTGCAGCCCAAGTCAGCCACTTGTGAAACCCCCAAGTGTGAAATTTTAAATTCACGTGGAACCAGATCAGACAACAGTGAACCGAACTCAGCTTTCCTTTTTTGGCTTCCTTATAAACAAGATTCAGCTCATTCTCTGTCCTCTTTTCCACCCAGTGGTTATATAGCCACTGGGGACAAGTGTCATGCAGATAGAAAGTAGCAGATCTACTTACCATCCCCTCTGGGCCACTGTGTCTTCTTATCTGCTGGCCCCAGAGCAGTGGCCCAGGCAGGCCAGCTCTTCATCTGTGCTGAGACTGTTTTCTTGGGGTGCCTTTCCCTCGCCACCTATATAAATCCCTTTGGGGCTTCAGGGCCCCGCACCAAACCCTTTGTTTTTGGAGTCTTTTTCATTGCTGCCAGTGCTGAAGGATGTCCTTGAACAACTCTAGTAGGTGTCATCTTAGTTACGAACGTTGGCAGTTACATGTGGCTCATTTTCCTTACTATCTCTGAGACTTTGTATTAATATTGTTCCCTGGTTCTTTGCCCACCAGTTGGCCCCTTAACATCAATTTTTTATGCTTTTTTTCTTTTTCCTTTGAAAATACTTCATACTGTGCAAGTTGATGCTTGGTAAGTACTTGCTCATCAATAGACACATGAAGGGCTGAGTTAAGCTGGGTATTGCCGTCTATGGAACCCGTGAGTACTGACCCTGGTGACCTTGACATTTCTGAGGATTAAGAACTTGGTGCTCATGTTCAGGATAGAGCAGTCAAATTGCTGCTGGTAACACCGGAGAGCCGGCAGTATCGTGGTGCACCAGAATCTCTGAAGTTTGAATCTGAAGGAGTTTGGAAGACTAATTGATTCTCTCATTTGGTGTATGAAGAAATTGAGACCCAGATTTCATTAATTTGCCCAAGTTCACACAATGAGTGAGCTGTAGCCCCTAGCTGGGTCTCATGTTTCTGGGGCTAAATTTACTGGCAAGTTTAGCCCTCTGGCCTCATGGCCCTGAATTCAAGCATGCCAGGGCCAACAGGAGAATGGCCTTACACACACTTGTCCTCATACTGAATGTATCATTTATCATTAGAAATACATGTTTGGTTCTACCATTTATGGTGTATTTTAATTTCTCAAGATGATTACCTTGCTTTCTTAGGTCTCCTGCCTAGTTCCCTTTTCTACATCCTCTTCCTTAACCAAAGTGAATTCTTAGTTTTCATGACTTAGGCCTTTGTTCATACTACTTCCTTCCTTTTTTTTTTTTTTTTTAAGATTTTATTTATTCTTGAGAGACATGGAGAGAGAGAGGGAGAGAGGCATAGGTGGAGACAGACACAGAGAGAAGCAGGCTTCCTGCAGGGAGTCCATTGTGGGACTTGATCCCAGGACCCCAAGACCACAACCTGAACCAAAGGCAGACACTCACCACTGAGCCATCCAGGTGCCCCTGTTCATACTACTCTCTGCATCTGGGGAAGCCTTCATCCTCATCTCCAAATGTTCAAATTCCACTGGTCCCTGAAGACTCAACTTGAAATTGCCTTAACTATGTGGATTCTCCTAGATGGGTGGTTTTTAAAAATTCTTTAAACCTTAAATCTCTTTTTTCAAATAGAAGTATTTAGGGGGATCTCAATGTGTAGTCAAGGACCAACTGTTTCATTGAAGCAGTGGTGGGCTCAGAATCCTGCATATCTACCTCAGAGGATTGGCTCAGAGCACAGTAGAGATATCTTTGCCCTTGAGAATCAACTCTCTCCAACTTTTGGGCCCCTGCAGCAATTTTTCTGAACCCTTCTTGTGGCTTGTTATTACCTTATACCTTGTGATGAGGCATCTTTTCTACTAGAAAGTAAAGCTCTTTGCAAAGAGTGTTTGGCTTGATCCCCCATGTTTCTAGAACAATGTCCCACCTATTGAAGATGATCAGGAAATACTGTTAATAAATGAATTAATGTAAATCCTGTCTCTGTAGATTAGAGCATGAAATCCAGCAGTTGAAGCAGAAGATCTGTGAGGTTGATGGTGTTCATAAAGCGCATCATCGGACCTTGGAGGGGAAGGCTCCTTCTCCCAGCTTGCCATCCAGTACTGAGAAGTCACACCTGGTCCCTCTGATGGATGCCAGGTACTGAACATTAAACTGATGCCAGCCCTACCTGAGATGTGATTTAGTGACTCACTGTACCACACATTGTCCAGTTTGCATATGGAGGGATCCATCCAAGGCAACAAGTGGTAGGTGGAAAGAGGTATCATTTGACAAAAACCAAAGACCCGAGGACTGACCAGCCCAATCGAGGGAATGCTGGTGCTACGTTGTGTGAGGAGGTAGAATTAGAAGGCTCAGGGAAACCACCTCCGCCAGGAAGGTATGTACCAAGGCCAGGTGAGAGGAAGAAATGGGCAGAGTTAATTGGACCATACCAAGAAGGAGGACCTTGTGCTGACAGTTAATTTATGGAGGTCATTAATTACAAACAGATGAAGTGTGTTACAAAAGCTGTACCAGTGTATTCAGAATGATCATGAACAACATATACATCTGATTCTGCTATAGCAAAATCATTTTCAACTTGAGTGGCATTGTAAATTGTTCTGTGGCTTAGAGCTTTCAGATAAATTGACTTAATCATTCTTTGCCCATAAGAAAATGGATTATTTTCCTCAACTCCAGCTATTTCATGGGGATGTTTCAAATTGGGCAGTCACAAGCCCTGCGCATCAGACAATATGTGTTTGGATATCAAAATGCATTCAGAATGCTAGGAGCTTCTGTATCCTCTTAAACCTAGGTCTGCATATTCAGGGAGACTAGTTTAAAAAGATCCAGAGAAGTAATCCATTTGTAAGTGCTCTCGGCTCTGCGTCAGCCATGTATGATTTTCCTTTCAGTTCTGAAAGGTGACTACCACATTTTATTACCTTATCCATTCTTCTATACTATTTCACCTAAAATATTCATCTCTTTACCTAGCATTTCAGAAAATCATCGAGACATGGCCAGTAGTAGAGATATGTTTCTAGGACTGTACGTGTGTTTAGAGAGATGAAGCCAGATTTTTGTTTCGTGTGCTAAGACATAAACATGCAAAATAGTTCATGTTAAGTAATCCATCTAATCAGTGTTTCTCTAACTGGGAGAGGGAGAGTGTAGAAGTAAGCAAGCCTTCCATGTGGGCAGCCTGAGCCATAGAAGGATTTTAGCTGGAACTAAAATTCTCTGGTCTCCCTGGTTCCTCTGGGTAGATGGTTGTACTTCCTACAATTTCACCTTTGTTCTCTAGGGTACCAGATGTTCAGTTGACAACTGCCTTAGTAGTTGGCCGTTTCATGCTTCCACTGTCTTGGCCCACGCCAGGCAGTTTGAAAGGTAGAGAGGCCTTTAAAATGTGCTTTACTCCAGCCAGCTGCCAATGGAGAGAGAAGACAGAGTAGAAACAGTTCAAGCCATTGTTCCTTTGGAATAGTGGAGATCCACAGAGATCTTGTCCACTTCCTGCCGCTCTCCCCACTTTAATCCTCTTACATGACTTTGTGATGTAAGAAATAACTATCACTGTTTTGCATAAGAGGGTAGTGAGGCTTGATGAGTGAAGTGCTGGGTCTCAGAGTCAGGTCTTTGGCCTTGGAGCCTTCTGAAACCAGTGTCTGTGATTCTCCTCTGCCCCGCAGCAGGGGGTCCACCAAGGAAGCCCAGGAGAGATTTGGATGGGATTACCTACTTTCACCTTTTATCCTCAACATTCTGTTATTTGTTCAGTACTTTCTTATTTGGGAAAACCCAGATAGTAAACACATGGCAGTAGATTTCTTAGGAAGTAGAAAAATGTTCCAGGTCCCGAGTCATTATGTTTGGCATTTAGAGTGAGAAAGTTCCTTGTTTTGAAGGGCAGAATTAAGAAAGGATCTCATATGCCCTTTGTGGTTAGAAGTCTTTAACCACGACCCCGATATCTGTTGTTTTCAGGATCAATGCTTACATTGAAGAAGAAGTCCAAAGACGACTTCAGGATTTACATCGCGTGATTAGTGAGGATGGTGATGCATCTGCAGATGTGGTGAAGGTGAGCTGAGGGAGCCAAGTCATATGTCATTCATTTTCAAGATGACCTTGCCGTAAGGTGGTGGTGGCGGCGATGATGGTGGCAGTGATGGGCTCCTTTATTATTGTTTGTCAGTGAGAAAATTGAGATGCAAAATGTTCTAGAAGAATGACATATTGCTTAGGTGGAGCTCAACAGGTTATAAAGAGTGTTGATTCAAGAGATACTTTATTTTAAAATTTTGTTCTTCTGGGGAAAATTCTTTTTTTTTTTTAATTTTTTCTTTAATTTTTATTTATTTATGATAGTCACAGAGAGAGAGAGAGAGAAGCAGAGACATAGGCAGAGGGAGAAGCTGGCTCCATGCACCGGGAGCCCGACGTGGGATTCGATCCTTGGTCTCCAGGATCACGCCCTGGGCCAAAGGCAGGCGCTAAACCGCTGCGCCACCCAGGGATCCCTCTTCTGGGGAAAATTCTTAAATGAATATAAAGTCTCCCAAAACATTTTATTTACTTTGTTTGATTCTACATGTAACGTTTTTCTGTTTTCTCCAAAAATATAACCAATTTCCTTAAGTATTTAATTTTGCCTGATAAATTATCCCAAGTAGATATGTAATTTTGCTTTTGAGAAGATACAATTTGCGATGTTGATTTTTATTAAAATAAAAACATTTCATTCCTGTTCTGCAACCTAAGAAAACTTCCTAAGGAAATTTTGCTTGTAATATTAGTCTTAGAATTTTAAGAGTAGGAACAGATGCCTCAGTTCCCTTACAGTCAGATGGATTGATAGAGTAGTGTTTACCATGGGAATATAAATTGTATAGAGGGTTGTCATTGTTGAGCAAGTATGCTTCTTTAGAATTTTGTTCCCGTAAATATTTCTAATCAAATCAGTTTCTTTTCCCTGTATGAACAAGCTATAATTTAATATAGAGGGCTTTTTATTTTCTTATCAGGATAATGAGAAACTCCACAATGGCACCATTCAACGCAAGCTAAAATATGAGGTAGGTAATGATTTTTCAGATTGATAAGGTCGCCTTAAATTATGGCATGCTGTGTGATTAAATTTTCTTAATGTTTAGTTGCATAATTAGAATTTTGAAGTCCCAGCGAAATTAATGGCTAATAGGGAAGGCAAGCTATTATATGGACTTAAAATTAAACGGAATCCTGCAGGTTGAAAAGTGCTTTGACTTTATTTGAATGACATATGACTGTGGTGGAGGCTCCTTGCCCAGTTTTTCATTCGTAACAGTATCCTTTCCTTTCCTTTGGTCTGTATTTAAAAGACAGAATTATAAAATCAGAATCAGATATGGGGTTTGGAAATGAAACTGAGTACTTCTTGATGTTTTAAAAACCCAGCTCATTTTATAGACTGTGAGTTGGCAGTAGTACAAAGGACATACTCCTGATTGATTAGCTTATTTATCTGGTGGATTGTCAAACCGAGGTTTATTTGGGCATACGATTTGTGAGGTTTTACTTGTATTTTCCTCCACTGAGGCACTTGTCCTTCCCATACATTCCTAAACTAAACAACAACAACAACAACAACAACAAAAAAAAAAAAAAAACAACCAAAACTACTAGATGGTAGAAGTCTACAGTTGGCACCCATACATTACAGAGAGCAAGAGGTAAGATGGTGGGAGTTCCACATGAAGCTTTACTGACTTTGGCTGCTGCTACACATCCTTTCCAGTTATGCAGTAATGACATTATCTTCCTCCGTCTCCCTAGCAGACTTCCTTGGGAAGAGGAGGACATTGCCCTTCATTTCTTTGTATCTACTGAGCCTGGCCTATAGTGGGTATCCTATAGGCCTTTCACCGTGCTGGTTTGTAGCTATGGCAATGGAGGTCTAACCAGGGCAGGTATAATTAAGAATTCCTGTGAAGTGAGCCAAGAGGCAAGAGAGAGATGACCAAGGTTGAAATGCTTGTCCATTTCTTTTGGCCTTGTCATCTGACTGTCACTAAGTATGCCCTGATGCCATTTACATTTTGGATATATGGTAAAAGACTTATTTTCACAACTAAATATGACTTTTTGAAAATCGAATCAAAGATCTTAGGATTTATTTTGGAGCAATTTGAAATGTTAGACCAAGAAATGGATACTGTGGATCAATCCCATGCAGTGTATTTCTATCAAATACTCAGCAATTTGTAAGATAAATAAATAGAAATTAACATTCTATTTGTGAATCAGATCATCTGTTCTTAAATCACATATTAATCATATGAATGGCTTAGGCTTTCAATTTAACCTCTGCATTAATCTACACAATGAAACCAATGACTGCAAGAATTTTCATGTGCCAAAGATTTGCAAAAGGTGCCTCCACATTCCCATTTCAACTGTTTTTGACATCTTGAACAGAAAAGGCGTCTTGTCCCACTGCGGCCCAGAGATGTTCCTGACACTTCCAGCAGAGAAGAGGGGAGGGAGGTGGATCAGAACCACCACGAAGATCATCCCTTGGCATGGAGCATCTCAGGCGCTATGGCTCCCTTCTCAGAATCACAAGAGAGAGCCCAGCAGCAAGGCCATCAGTCCTCAGTGTATGAGCTGCTGCAGAACAGTGATTGCAGACCTGGTCATCTTGCATCCGCAGGCTGTTTTCAACCAAAATGTTTCAGTCTACCTGAAATCACTTCCCTTAACAAAAGCAACACCAGTGACATAAAACATTTTCAGCGTAGGTCAGGAAATTTCCGTGAGCGGATGACTCATAAAGATGAGTACAGCTTGGGAATCAAGTCTGGCTGGACTTTGCTGCAAGATTTGTGCCAAGAATTGTCTATGAATAATGGAGGCAAGCAGACCAGGCAAAGCAAGTTACTCTTTGTCCTCTCTGAAAACATTCCTAGTGAGGAAAGTGCCTCCCACAATGTTCCTCATGGTGCACCAACCTCAAAGTTTTGTGGTGCGCAGCAAGTCGAGAGAGAGTTAGCTGCTAAAAAAGTTAACTTTCCACAGTCCCTGATGAATACCAACACAGAAGCAACCAGTGGGTTGGGCTATTTTTACCACAGACTCTCAGACCTTTATAAAGATACCTGCAGTCACCTGCTGCAGTCTGGCACAGAGGTGATCCGCCTAGTCAGGCACGTGGGGAGCCTGCGTGACCCCAGTGAGCTCACCTCCCATGTGATCACATTTATCAGAAGACTGCCATTTCTGAAACACTTTCCCCTAGACACATCCCTGAAGACACACGGACTGTCAGCAGAGTCTCATTCTTTCCCTGGAGAAGCTCAAGTGGGCAGCAGCAACAGTGAGGAGGCAGGTGCTGCTTGGCCAGGAGAGAGCTCTGCGCCTTTCAGAGCCCCAGGCCTCACTGTGGCCTCTGCACCTGCGGGATCACCAGGCTCCTTCCCGAGCTCAGTCTGCCACCTAGAATACGAAGGTGCTAGACAGAGCTGTGCATTTAAGCAGACCCTGGTACAGTTTCCAGCCCAGATGCTGAAACTTCAGGAGCACCCTTTAGAAGACTTTCTTGAGCACGTGGCTTGCTCCCTACCAGAACTTGGGGGCGATGTGAACAAAGTGCAGGGTGTTTACTGGCTTGCTGTTGCCACCTATACTGAACCTGACCCACAACCAGCGTGTTTTCTCCTGCTTCATTCCATTTTATACACTTTGGTTCTGTCAGATAACCCGTCAGGCTCAGTGGCTGTTTTTCATTCTCTACCTCTTTCTGGACTAGAGGAGATTCAAATTGGCTTTGGTGGGCAGAGCATTAGATTCCTGGGCTCTACAGAGAGTCTGCAGCTCACTGTATTTAGTTACAACAAAGACCTCTGTCAGCAGATATGCCGTGACATCCTGGGTGTCCTGATGCCTGAGTCTGATGTTGCTGCCTGTACTAACCATCCTTTGTTCCAACAAGATCTGGTTCAGCTCTCTCTGGATTGGAAAGCAGAAGTCCCTGATTTAGTTTTGGCAAATGGAGTTCGGTTGTCATCCAGATTCCGGAATACCTTGGTTGACATGATTTATATTCTTCATGGAAACATGGAAGTCAACATCCCCTCTCTGGCAGAGGTTCAGTTATTGCTCTACACGACTGTCAGAGTTGAGGGTGACCCTGGCCCAGACCAGTGCCAGTCGTTGGTCCTTCTAAACACCCACATTGCCCTTCTGAGGGAAGATCGAGTTTTCTATCCCCGCACTCAGTCTCTAAACATACCTCCTTCACGAACACAATTTGACGTGACCAGATGCCGTGCTTTAAGCGAATTCAGGTGTGTTGTTGTTCCAGAGAAGAAAACATTGTCAACCGTTGAACTTGTCTTCTTCAATAAACACAAAGTCTCATCAGGTTCAAGAAATGGTGCTAAGCACTTTGAGGAAGCGCAGAACATCCAGTTATTCACCAGCATGCTGTGTCTTCAGGGCAGTCAGAACATGGCACCTGATATCTGGAAAATGACCCTCAGCTCTCATGATGAGGCTCTGTGGCTCATCTCACATTTGACAAGGCTCGAAGGAGGAAACTTGTAAAAATATTCTGCATGTTTTTTGAGATTTTTAATAAAATGAACATTATGTTAATAGTCAAGGACTAGGAATATCTTTGTGATTTAAAATTGGAAAAGTGCAGACCTCTAAAATTGAAAATGTAAATATTTTAAATATCTACAATAAAAGAAAAATAGGGGATAGCTGAGCACTGATAAAATATCTTTATCACCACTCTACTTCATTTTCTTGAACCTCAGCCTTGTAAATTTGGGTCTGCCTCATTATTTGTGAGGTGATTAAAGCATTTCTGATTGTTTTTGGCTTCATGTCGACTTATAGTATGGTGCCTTGGAATCTTTTTGTGTCTGTTGGATTCCGGCAGGCTAATTTGTGCTGCTTGAAAAAGTGCCCGGTTGGCAGTGACCTTCACTGACATCTTCCGTTTTAGCCGTGATTAGGACAGCTCTGTAGCAGAGCACATTAGTAATGCATCAAGCTTCCTGGAAGGACCCAGGGATTTAAAATACCCTCCCCTCACTCTAATACATGGAATGGAGACAGCGCCACATGCCCTGCCCTGCCATGTCTTCTTCCTCAGTTAATTACCTTTTCCTTCCTCTTTTCAGACTTTTTGACTATTGCTTTCCAACCTATGTGATTTCAGCTCTTTACTTATTGGTTTAGTTTTGACTACCCTTCCCCCATGCCACATGCCAGTTCTTTCTCTGAGCCTTTGTTATTTCTGTCCTAGAAAGGCTCTTCATCTTCAAGTCTAACTTTTTCTAACAGCTCCTTTAAGTGATTTTATCAGCTGTAGGGTCACCCCAGAAGGCATTCAGCACTTTCCCCTGGCTGCCCTCCCTCTCTGCCCCCCGTCTAATCCATCATCACTCATAACCTCTGACCAAGGTGTTCTGGCCAGAGCCGGTTGGCGTGCTGGCCTCCCTTCTGAGATGGGTCACACCCATAAGTGGCCTCAGGTACATCTCTCTTCACAAAGTACCATCTGGTACTCAGCTGCCTTCCTCCTCTGTGAGAGGCCTGAAACTGGGCTCTCCAGAATCTTTCTGTCCTTTGAGTGACCCTTTCTTTTTTTACCACCTCTGTTCAACATTCTTATGAGGGATCAGGTTCCATGCCTTATATTTATAGTTATTTCATCAAATCCTGGGTTGCTCAGCCAGGGCTCTCCTGTTTCTTAGGCGTGTAATGTTCTACTGAACTCCAAAGTCTTAGAAGGAGGGAGGTGTATTCTTCACTGCTCCATCCTCCCTCTCCCACTTCCAGCCAGGATCATGCCAAGCTCATGGTAACTACTCAGTGAATGTCATAGGCAGTTGAACAAAGTGATTCTATGAAGCCATTTATTTTAACCCTGGCATGTAGGGGCCATTCTCTGCTCTGGGCAGACCCTCGGATAAAAATGTGCAGCGTAAATGTCATAGCCCCCCTCTTTATTTCTACTCTTAATTGACAGTAGGAGCAGTGTCAAAGCTTTTAACCCATCCTAAAACTCACCATCTCCCTTCAGCCAGGAAGTACAGACCTTCCCTCTTTCCCTATCACGGTTAGCAAGCTACTTAATGTAGTCTACATCTCATCATTAATTTTCCTCTATCCAGGTCTGGGGCAGCAAACAGCAAAGGGCAGGAAACTGGAGAGCACATTAGGATACACACACGGGTGGCTGCTGTGTCTGCAGTAACCCAGTGGAAGCGTTTTGTCTTTTTGAGGCAATAGAATTAAAATGTTTTTAGGCATGTTTTTGTAACTTCCACCCTCCACCCAATATCTACATACACACATACCCTATTGCCTTATACATGAAGATGTTTGAGTCTCTGCTGAGGACCTCATTAAAATTAGTTTGTCACATTCTTGGCTGGAAGATCATCTGTTGAAGAAATTTCTCCAATGAACCATGGTGGTCTTCTAATATCAATAATTTTCACCTAATTTCAATTTTTTTTTTCAGCAAATGCTTTCTTAAAAATTGCCCCATTGGGTATTTTCCCAAATATCCTTGATAAGAACAGAATTAATGATTATGAAGAGCAGAGGGAGTGAAATTTAAGATGTCAGCAGAGGGATTCTGTAGTTGGAAGGGAAACAGTACAAAAATTTTAACAGAGTCAAACATATTAGACTCGCTGTCTTCATAGGTTAAAAAAAAAACATAATTCTACTAGGTTAAAACAACTAATGTTCACAGATAGAGCATGCAGCAGATATGAGTATTGTATAAAAATTATATTATTCATTATAACTTTTTCAGTCTACTTTATGATCCAGGCAGGCCACAATGAAGATTACCTTCAGACCTCACCACATAATAGAAGCAACCTCCGGCAATTCAAATTTTACATGTCTCTTCTCTCACCTAAACATACTTTTTACCTTGAGATCAAATATGATCCCTGATAGAAAAATTTGATTTGCTCTTCATGAAGTAAGTTGTCATTCTTTAGGGTTGTCCCTATAGAAGGCAGCATGGTGTTTGCAGCATTATCCACTGTAGCTTCAATTCTGGTGGCCTGCCTCCATCTCCACTGGCTCAGTGTTTAGGAGTTCTGAGCCCATGATGCTACAATAGGAAACAGGTGTCAGTATTTCCATATCCAGCCTAACGTGGGATCTTCTCAGTTACATTGAGTTCCTGCATAAAAAAAAAAAAAAAAAAAATAGGTTCATACATACTTTGTTATGTGGCATTTCCATTGTTACTGAATAGGCATAAACATTTACATTGTGGAACTTGTTAATGAATTCTAGACAATACCTCTATGAGTACTTTGAAACAGTGATTTCATCTGAATTTGATTAAAATCCATTTTGCTCACAGCTGCCTGTTTACAGACTTGTGGTTGGCAGGGTAAATTTATTTGGTCTTTGTTGAAAAACATTTCAAAACAATTTGTCTTCCCTTTCTCATTATTTAAAAAATGTAAGTGCATCCTTTGGAGAGAATACTTATGCCTCCCAGCAGTAGTAATTACGGTAATTTTTATTTACATTCTTTTTCCTAAATGATTTCAAGTTTTGAATGATAAATAGATTAGAGCACTTTTATTAATGCTTCTTTGAAGGTCAAGCAGTCTTATTGGTTAAACCAGTTTCTTGTGAGGTTATTTTGTTAATTTAGTTACACAGTTTCCAGTATGCATCTTAGACAATTCTGCTTCATTATTTATCTTTTGTAATAGATATTATATCAGTCAGCTATTGCCAGTAACCAGCTGCCTCCCACCTCAATTTTAGTGGCATATAAAAAAAGAAAAAAGCTTTCATTTCTTACTAATGGTTTGTAAATAGGTTGAGGTAACTTTACTAAAGGCTACAGATCATCTGCAGTTCAGATGAGGTTAGTCTATTCATGATATATCATCTTGAGGTCTGTGCTGGAGAGTTAGTGGCTATCATAATGATGAAGCATAGAAGATGTTGATGCGTCAGTCTGCCAACGTCCCATTGGCCAACACAAGTCATGCAACCAAGTCAAACAGCAAGGAACACTCCATCCACCAAGAAGCCATGGATATATGCACTGGATATATGCTGGTACTGTAAGGAGAAAAATAAGGACCAATAGTTCAATCTACCATGGGTATTTTGTGTCAAAGTCCTGAAGCTCTTATTTAAAATGAAATTCAGATACAACTTGTAGGATTTCACCCTGAGGGAAATATTCAGGTACTAGGAGGAACATAGGTCAGAGGACCTTTTGAAGTTACATAGTTCAACTGGCTTTCCAGTTTAGTCTTAACATCTCCAGGCTGATCACTGTCTACCTCAGAGCAGTTATTTCTTGGGAAATTCTCTCCATAATTCTCATTACTGTGATCCCCATCTGTAGAGTCAATCCATCCTTCACATTCTTCTGTAATGGGATAGGACTTGTCTGTTCCACAGTCTGTGTTATAACCTGACCCTCCAAAGAAGACAGTTCTTTCTCTCACCTCACCTCCTCTGATTTTCCTTTTTTACCTCCAACACCCTTCAGTTCCTCTGCTGTTTCTTATGCAAAACAGTTGCCAAACCACCACCATCCAGTCTCTTGTTAGGGTTGCACACTTGTAGTTTTTTAAAGCCTCCTTTATAAGGAATGCGACTGAATGATTCAGTTAGGAAGAAGGAAAGAGAGACTGTTGTAAATCATACCTCCTGCCTCTTAATAACTTTGAAATATTTGGTTGCCAAAGACACAGTGGATTACAGTGATAACAATCCCAGCCACCCTATATATTGTAGTTTAGAGTGTACCAAGTTCTTTCTCATGTATTGCTCCTTTTGAGGCACACAGTGATCCTCCTGGGATGGAGAAGTTGTCATCAATCTCCACTTCATATTTAGGAATTTAACTCAGAAAGGATCACTTGATTGAGAATTGGAATCAAACTCAGACCTTCTTACTCCAGAACATATATTCTTTCCACAATGCCAAAGTCACTGTCTGGTCACAGTTATTCTTGACATTGTCTGGGTAAAATTTTTTATTGATTGATTTTTCTCATAGGAATAACTATGCTAGGGATGAATATTTGAAAGAATATGAAGATTATTTTCTGACTTGTAAGTTATTTTATTAAAATTTCTAGACATTAAAGATTATTTTTCTTTTTATGATTTGGAGGTTTCCCTGAAAAAAAAAAAATCCCATGCAAGTTTCTTTGCAATTCCATTGTTCTCTTGTATGAACCTATGTCTTCTTTTTGCATTTTTAGCTCCTGTAGAAGAAAAGCTTGGATAACGTCCTAGCATGAATATGGTACAGATAACCTTGTATGCTCAATATTGCTCCTCTAACTGAAGCTTAAACAATATGCTCTCCAGACACCTGATGGACTCCTCTCCCTCCTTACAACTTTAATTTCTCCTGAGCCTTAGAATTGAGCACAGATTGAACCAAAACTAGGGTTCCACAAAAATCAGTGCGTGAAGATGAGTGATACTTTCATGGATAATCAGTAACATTGTAGAACTTGAAAGGAGAAAACCTGGTTTTCTCTCCTGAACATCCTAAACTTTCAATATTTAAGTTCGGTATAAGAGCCACTTAGCAATTTTTGCCCTGTTCTCATTCAGTCATACTAGACGCATTCTATAATTCTTTTGAAAATTCCATCCATTTAATGATGCATTATCCAGAGATAATGACCATTGAAGGTACTAGTCTTTCATGATCTAGAGAAAGGTAACATTTTTAATAATTTCAAATTGGAACATTCATCAGATACCCAGTCTTTCTAAGCTTTGAAACAATGTTGAT